CGGGTGGGAGAAGAAGCAGATAATTTTTTCTGGGGGGGGGGAGGAGATTTTGGGATTTTTTTTTCCCCTGAGGACCTGGTGGCTTGACAATCTAAACAAGTTTATAAAGAGATCCAAGTGTCTACAGCTATCCTGTTATGGGGGCCTGTGGGGTGCATGGGACAATCTAAAGAAGTTTATAAAGAGATCCAAGTGTGTACAGCTCTCCTGTTATGGGGGCCTGTGGGGTGCATGGGATTATCCCTGAGGAGACCCCCCCCAGGAAAAAATGTCACATCTGGAGAGGGGGGTGAGAGAGCAACACCACCAGGAAGAGACAGAGAGACAGAGGAAGAGATCAACGTTCAGCCGGGGTCAAAGCTGTTGCCTGTAAAGAGATTGGGGGATATTCATGAATGCCTTCCTTATGGCTTTGTGATGTTTTTTATAAGGTCCAGGATGAGATAACCAATGTCTACAGAGAAAAACAGCCAGATGTGCAGGCAATAGCCCTGGCATGTCTATGAGCTTTACATGTCTTCATCGTTGGTGAACTCAGGACAGGTGTTAATTGGCAAGCAAATGCCATTACCATGTGATGATGATACTGATGATTATGGTGTCCTCAAAACCACCCTTTGGCAGATTTTGGCAAAGGGGGAATGGCTACCTGCTTCTGAGATCTATTCCACCATGTGCCTCTCGGGTGAAGAGCCCGCCTGGGTGGCCCTGGGCCAGCTGCATCCCAGAAGGAGGGAGGGGAAGAACCTCTATCCTGGAAAAGCTTGGAAAGGGTCCCCAGGAGTTAGCATCGACTTGATAGCATGTGGTTATTATTATTAAGGGACGTGGTGGCGCTGTGAGTTAAACCACAGAAGCCTCTGTCCTGCAAGGTCAGAAGCCCAGCCGTCGTAAGATCGAATCCACGTGACGGAGGGAGCTCCCGTCGCTTGTCTCAGCTCCCGCCAACCTAGCCATTCGAAAGCATGTAAAATGCAAGTAGATAAACAGGGACCACTTCGGTGGGAAGGTAAAGGCGTTCCGTGTCTAGTTGTGCTGGCCACGTGACCATGGAAATTGTCTTTGGACAAATGCTGGCTCTACGGCTTGGAGACGGGGATGAGCACCGCACCTTAGAGTCAGACACGACTGGATTAAATGTCAAGGGGAACCTTTACCTTTACCTATTATTAGTAATGGCCCAAGTCAAATTTTGCCGGATGCTAGCCTGTGGTCTTGACATCTCTGTGGCCATGAGCTTCCTCTCTTCTTGGAGTGACATCAGCGTTAAGTCAAAGCACCCGGTTCAGGGCAGGCCATTACAGTTTTAGCCCTCCGGCCAAAGGTGCCCTCCAAGAAAGATTCCACGGACTGCATCCATTAGTGAAAGGTTACCGCTGATCTCCTTTTCACGATTCCAGCGCCGGCAGCGCCTGAAGATGCATTTGGAAGCTCTTTAAAAAGTGCGAGACCTCTTAAGCGAGGGGGTCTCTAGAGGAAGGACATCCATCTGACAGCTGGAGGTGGGGGGGGTAGGAAAGAAGGTTGCTCATAAAGAGCAGGAGAAAGAAAATCAATAACTCCTCTCTCTTTCACACACACACACACCCACTCTTGAACTAGCCGAGGAGATGAAGCTGGAGGGGAGTGCCCACCGCTGAGCTGAAATGGAAGTGTT